ACAGGCCCCAACCCCCCCCCCCCACCCGGCCATCTCAAATCCATGTATAAATTTTTTTTTTTGGAGAGGTTTTTACTGTAGGGCACGTGCACTTGCCAGAAAGACAGAGACAGACAGAGAGACAGAAAGCGAGAAATCACCCCCGCCAGGGAGGATGGCCATGCCGCAATCCCTTCTCTTCCATTCTCCTCTCGGGATCTTGGGCACGCTTGTACACGCGCCTAGTGTGAGTTTAAGCCACCGGGTCCAGGACTCGAACTGCAGTCGACTACATGGGAGTCCAGCGACATAGCCATTACACTAACTGCTGGTCCCAATCCATAAATTTTAACTCCACCACAAACTTAACTACTAATAGGCTACTCTTAACTAGAAGCCTTGCTAATAGCATAAACAGTTAACAAGTATTTTATATATTATATGCTATGTACTTTATCCTTACAACAAAGTAAACTAGAGAAAAGAAAATGTTAAGAAAATCATAAGGAAGGGATATATTTACAGTATAGGGCTGTATTTTCCAATATGTTTACTAGGGGGGGGAAACAAAAACAAAAGCAAGAACACCCTGTGCGTAAGTAGGCCCACGAAGCTCAAACTGTGTTGCTTAAGGGTCAGTGGGATTGTTTCCAGTGACATTTTTTCTCAGGATAGTGAGTGGATGTGGCAGGAAAGAGTCCTCCTGCTTTTTCACGCATGCCATGATCCTGGTTTTTACTTCTTTTCAAAGTCCCCGGGCGGATGGCATGTGACTGAATGGCATTAGTCTCTCTCACGCTACCTCTGGGATGAAGAGGTAGAGCAGATCGGGACGTACTGTGGATGGGTTCCTTCGTGGCGTGCTGAGTGAGTGAGAACCAAGCCCCAAAAGGACTCTGCACTGTGCACTTCAGGAGGGGGACACCTTCAGGTGCAGTGGCGAAGCCCAGGATGTTCACTTAACTGTCCCCAGAAACTGCAGAGTAATGGTTTTCTGGCTGACATGCCCCCCCATCAGGAGCACAGCAGAAGGCACAGGCATCGTCACACATCACTCTCATGTCACTGTTTTTAATTGCAAGGCTGTGACTTGCTGGCGCGGAATTGTTAGCGCCTCTCCCACCTAATTACCCAGCCTGGGAGCTGGCACACAGACGCGGCTGCCTCCTACTCCTGCAGAAATCTGCCCCAGGCCCCACAGCAAGCCCAGCACCAGCAAATGCAAAGGCCCCTGGGCTGTAGCGTGTGGTTCCAGTTGCTTCTCCCATCCCTTCCATCCTCCTCCACGCCTGGCAGGCAGTCTCCTCCCCCTAATTCGGCCCCAGCCACGAGGTACTCCTT